AATGATGAAATTATTTGGCGTTCTGTTTCGGGGCGCTTGACGCCTTGGGTCGAGAGTTTGGAATTTTATCGGTTTTTTACTTTGAAATCGGAACAGGTAAAAACGACACAGGTAGGCGATCGGAATTCGGGACTGACTTTCAGGTAGAAAATTTTTCACCCAAAATCGTCTTGGGTGGTCCCTTGGTAGGTGACGCAGTGCGAAGAGTTCACTCTGTCCGATCCGTTTGGATAAACAGTACATAATCTGATATTTGAACGTTTAAATTCGCGCCATTTCAGTTTAGCCCCTTAGAAAGGGGCTAGCTTAAATCTGATATTGCTAACCCCCTCTAAAATACGATTCTAGAAGGGGTTAGCAATATCAGATTTGAGCTAGCCCCCTTCTAAATGGCCTAAACTGAAATGGCGCTAATTTAAACGTTCAAATATCAGTCGCGAAAATTATTTTTTGCGACTGAAAGCTTTCTTTCCATTTTCCTCACTCACTGAAGGACCACCCAAGTCGAATGCCCTTTTTCGGCTTGTTGAAACCTCGACAAATTTTTGGATTAAAGGATCAAAGGTTAAAGATCAAAGATCACTTTTCTATTTCAGAGTTCTCGCGATTGTCTGTGCTCAGGAAGTGATCGATGATTGTTTCAAGGAAGTCTTGCACTATATGGCCGAGGTAAGTTTCAAGCAAAAGTTGCCATTAACCTATGCTAATGTTGCATTTTTCAGGGAAAACGAAGCAACCTGGAGGTTCGAATGCTGATTCACGACTCTCACGCCGGCATCGTTTTGGGCAAGAAGGGCTCTTTCGTCAAGGAAATCATCGAGAAGACCGAGACTGACGTTCACGTCTACAAGGAATTGTGTCCCATCTCATCGGATCGAGTCGTCAAGATCACGGGAGCCGAGGAGAAAATCGTCGAGGCTGTCGGGATTATTGTTAGGGAGTTGACCAAGGTGTCATTTTGGGCGTTTTTGTAGCATTTGTTTGGTTTTTTAATTTAATTTTCTGACTGGAGAGACTTTTTTGTAGCATTTATTGGACTTTTGGGAAAATTTTTGGAAATTTAAACCAATTTTGAATTGGCGGCAAAAAAATTTCGCCAAAAATTTGCATGTTTTGGATTTTTGATCGAATTTTCGGCAATTTTTTCCAAATTTTTCAATTTTTTGACCAAATTTAGTACATAATAGCAAATTTTGCAATAAAAATTCAAATTTGAAAAAATTTCAAATTGCGCCAAAAATTTGAAATTTTTTGGAGCATTTGTTAGGTTTAATTTTTTTTACTTAATTTTCTGACTGAAGACTAGGTCAAAATCCCCCGGCCATAATCCCCCGGTGGCCATTTTTTTGACATAACTTTTTTCTGGAACATTCTAGAAGGATAAGTAATGGCTTAAATCAGAGCAAAGACTCTTGGCTACCGATCGATGTATTGCACACAGGACCTCGATTCAAGGTTTTCGAGATTCAAGTAATTTTGTCTCAAATTTTCAACTTTTTTGAAAATTCTAGAATTTGGGACAAAAAGACTTGAATCTCGAAAACCTTGAACCAAGATGCCGCGGCTTTTTTGCCAGAAAGTTTTTCTGGAACATTCTAGAAGGATGAGTAATGGCTTAAATCAGAGCAAACTGAATCGATGCAGGACTCGATTCAAGTAGATCAAATTTTGTCTCAATTCTTTGTCTAGAATTGGACAAGATTGAATCTCGATTGAAGATCTTTTTTGCAAATTTCGATTCAAAATTATGCTACAGAGCAGCTGCAAATCGTTTATTCAACGGATCGATTCAAGGTTTTCGAGATCCAAGTCTTTTTATATCAAATTCTCGAATTTTCTATAAAATTCTAGAATTTAAGACAAAATTACTTGAATCTCGAGAATCTTGGATCGAGATGCGGCGTACATTATACCGATCGGTTGCCCAGGGTCTTAGCTCTGATTTAAGCCATTACTCATCCTTCTAGAATGTTCCAGAAAAAAGTTATGGCAAAAATAGATTGACTGACACTCATCAGATTATCATGGATTTGAAATTTTGATTTGAAATTTTGATGGATTTACAATAAATTTTTTCTCTAGGGAACATTATAAGCTATCACTCAAAGCTTAAGTCTGGGTCTGAAGGTCCTTGGAAGCCTGTCTTAAACTTCTTCAAAGTCAGATCCTGAAATTTGTGATTTTTAGTTCCCGATCAAGGCGCCGCAACGACTCTACGACCCAATCAACTACGATCCGACTATTGCGCATGTTTACGGCGGTTTCAGTGACGGACGTGCTCCAGCTTCAGGTAAGTGCTTTCATAAAAAATATACAACGCAAGCACTGTTTCTTTAGCCACGTTCAAATTGCCGCTCAACACCAAAAATTGCCAAACATGTTCTAGAACTTTCTTGAAGGATGAGTAATGGCTCAAATGAATGCTGAGACTCTGCTCCTTCGATTAAGCCATTACTCGTCCTTCTAGAATGTTCCAGAGGTAATTTGACATTTTCTGGTATTGAGCGCTAATTTGAAAATTAATAGTTAACCTTTGCTTGTATTTTATTTCCCGTTTTGGAAAAGTATTGAAATTTTGTAAAAATTTGTGAATATGACTCCTGAAAGTTCAATGATCAAAGATCATGATTTCTAAGTCTTAAATTTCTTCAGGTGTATCCGCTTGGGAACGAGGTCGCGCAGGAGAGCGAGAAGAAAGAATGGGATACATCCCGGGTCCTCCAGCAATGTCGTACTCTGAGGATTATCTGCGCGGCGCGGACAACATGTCCTTACAGGTATGTTAATCACGACCAGGTAAGAGAATCTCAAGTCGAGATTCTCAGAAAGGTCATTCGATTGGTATAAAAAATAACGGTTTTAGTTGACTGTTCCGAAGGAAATGGTGGGAAAACTTGCGGCGAACGGCGGAGAGCTCATGCATTACATCCAGCAAGAATCCGGGGCCCGTCTCGACGTCAGCATCACCTTGACCGGGCCGGACCGTCGAATTCGAATGGCTCAGCTGCTGCTAAAAGACAGGTATTTGGACTGATATCAGTAGGGCCAGGATTTTTAGGTCTTTTCCTTAAAAACCTAAAAGACCTATTTTGGCCTTTTTTGGGAAATTTTAGGTCCGATCTTGTTTCGGCTAAAATCATCATTTTATGAGCCTAAAACCGCCATTTTCTCAGATTTTTGCAAAATTTTCGCAAAAATTGGCAATTTTTTCCAATTTCTGTGGAAATTTTTTTACTTTTTGAAACTTTTTTGTGAAAAATTTTTACTTTTTGGTATTTTTTGTGCTACATAAAAAATGTTTAAATTGAATCCAAATTTTAGCGCCCAAAGTCAAATTGCGCCAAATTCGGAAATTTGAACCGGAATATTCGAAAAATTTCGCCAATTAAAGTGAACATGAGCAAAAATGAGCTAAAACTGGCTATAAATGTGTTACTTTTTTGACAGTTATGCTATAAATTATAAAACTACAAACTTAAAATAACTTTTTTGATGTAATACGATCCTAAAATGACCATTTTAGGACCTAAACCGGACCTAAAATGGCCTATTTTGGGACCTTTTTAGGATCCTAAAATGCGATTTTTGAGACCTAAAAATCCTGGCCCTAGTTATCAGTTTACCTGCATTTTATTTTTGGTAGGAAAAGTGAACTCAGAAAAATTATGTTACCTTTAAAAATTGACAAAATCTTGGTTTTGTTCCGGATTCAAAAATTCAGTTCAAATTCGCGCCAAATTCGAGCAATTTGGCTATACGCATTTGCTAGGAAACTCGTTCTTTTTCGTACACCCTGAAGGGCTCCCCTTGAGGTGCATGATAAGCACGGGTCTCATTTGTTCTTATTTTAAGATTTGTTCATATTTTTGGCCAAATGTTCTTATTTTGTTCTTATTTCAAGCAATATCCGTTTTCAATGGGAATTTTTGAAATACAAGCTACTTTTCCTAAAAATTTTGATTAAAATTACGCTGCTTGCCAAAAATTTTAGATAATTTTTTATATATTTTTAGAATATCCATTCATTTCTTTAGCATTCGTTTTAGCCTTCGAGGAAGACCTGCGGATACTCCGGCGATCCCGGCCTATTATGACGAAGCTCCGTAAGTTTTTTGCAATTTTTTAATTTTATACCAAAAATTAACTTTAGCTCTTTAACTTTTCAGTGTTCGCCGCTCTCGCGAAGTTGCTCCTCCGGCTGGTTTCTACGAAGACGCTCCGTTGGACTACAACAATTTCGCGTGATGACTCATGCGCGAAGCGCGAATTTGAATACCGTTTTTGGCGGTTCGAAGAATATTATTTGTTGCAATATTTCTTCCAGAAATGTATACTTTTGTCGGTTAATTTATTCAGTTCTCTTTATTATCATTGATGTTTATTGAACTTTGAGTACTCTCCAGGTGCATTTTACCTTTGCGCGAATAAATATGTATTTTGCATATTTTTTTGTCACACTCAAATTTTGTAGGTTTGTGTTTCAAATTTTTTAGGATTTTTCCAGGATGCAATGAATATCCGTATGAAAAACTATAGTATAGTTTTACAGAAATTGACTGGTTCTGGAATATTCTAGAAGGCGAGTAATATCCCAAATGAACGCTGAGACTCTGGGATTTTGATTTAGAATGTTCTAGAAGCAGCGATAAGAAGCAATATCCAGTGAAAAATTTACTATTATTTTCAGTTGATTTGTACTTTTTTCATGGGCTTTTTCAATGGGTTTAAATTGCCGCCAACTGAAATTCTGTTCTGGAATATTCTAGAAGGTAAAAAATTTCTCAAATTAATGCTAAGGCTCTGCGCGTTCGATTAAGCCATTATTCGCCCTTCTAGAATGTTCCAAAAGCAGTCAATATGTATGGAAAAAGTACTATAATGTACCAAACTAAATTTCCAAAATTTGACAAAATTTCTGAAAATGCCAGAATTAAAAAAATTTCAACTTTTCCGCTATTCCACCGATCCAACAGCGTCGGGATTTTGGTTAAAAAAGTGACAGGTCCGTACGGGGGTCGAACCCGTGATCTTCTGATTAGAAGTCAGACGCCGTTCCACTGGGCCAACGGACCACATGTAAGGGAGGGTGGAGTATTGACCTTATACCAAGACAGAATGAAAATTATTTTTGCTTTGCGCGACTTTTATGCAGGTTTGGATCGAGAACGGTTCCGGAAATTTTCGGTTTCGAACCGTTTAGTCCCGTTATTTGGAAGAAAAAAGTGTTTTTTATCGAAAACCCGATTTTTTTATAATTATTGGGCACTATTTTTTTAATTCAGCCAACAAGTTTTCCAAAAACTGAAAAATTTATGGAATAATCCTGAAAAAACCGCGGACAAAAGTTTCAGCAATATTAAAAATTATCGATTTTTTAAAATCCTGGTAATTTTCTAAATTTTCTGGAATTTTTTTAAAGAACGCTATTATTTTTTCTAACGATATTTTTACAGAAATATACCGTATTTCCTCTAATTAAGCCCCCGGGCCTTGATTATTTCAAAACCATCCAGAGGGTCTGTTATAGGGGACTAAATTTGTCGGTCTTTTTCGAAAAAATCCCAATTTTTTACTAAATTTTTAGCAATTTTTGGTTAAATTTGCGTTTTATTGTAAAAATTTGGTGAAAAAGGCAAAATTTATAATAAAACTTCAAATTCGCGGCAAAAATTTTGAATTTTTAGGGAATTTTGGAAAAATTCACTATCAAAATTTTGGCTCTATTGCAACGGACTTTTTTTCCGATACCACTCCAGGTGTCAATTAAAGTGGGACCGCTAGACCGTTCCCGAAATATTCCCAGAAAAACTCACGCGAAATTTACAAATTTTTGCACCTGGCCAGAAATTTCTGAACTGATCTGTGATTCCGGGCTCATTTTTTCTTCGATTTTCTCTCACAAACATTTCTCGAACAAATTTGACGAACGGGCTTTTGCGCAATTGAAATGAATGGTCTTGATATAATTTAGTTCGAGACTGAAATTTGGTTCGAGAAAGTGACGAGGTGACAGTTGGAATCAAACTTCAGCGACCCAAAAGACCTTTACTTTTTGCTGTCACCTCTGCGATCAATCGAATGAAGGTGGAAAACCGGTTAGAGAAGACCGTTACCCGAAACACAAAAGACAGTTTTTGACCTGTCCATTTGTGCAGGTGAATAGCGGTTATAAAGGGCATTCTTGGTGCCCAAATATTTATAACGGTGGATTTATTTTGCCATTTTTGGGCAGTTCTCGCTGTGTCCGTTATAAATCTGATATTACTGCTTCTATGTCACCTTTTTGTCTAGTTTACGATTCATTTAATTTTCATTTAAAATTTTGAATTCGCGCCAAAAAATGCTGTCTATATCAATATTTCATCGCACTGTTATGGAAAGAGTGATGAAATTAATGTGTTTTGGCGCGAATTCAAAATTTTGAAAAAAACAGTTGGAAACTAGACAAAAATTTGAGATAGGAACAGTAATATCAGATTTATGACCAACATAGCGAGAAATGCCCAAAAAAGGCAAAATACGTCGAATTTCGAGGTTATAAAGGGCATTCTTGGTGACCAAATATTTGTAATGGTGGATTTATTTTGCCATTTTTGGACAGTTTTCGCTGTGTCCGTTATAAATCTGATATTACTGCTTCTATGTCAACTTTTTGTTTAGTACCTAACGCTTCTTTCAAAATTTGAATTCGCGCCAAAAATGCTCTCTATATCAATATTTTTATCGCACTGTTATGAAAAGAGTGATGAAAGATTGATCAAAGGGTTTTTGGCGCGAATTCAAAATTTCAAAAAAAACAGTTGGAAACTAGACAAAAATTTGAGATAGAAACAGTAATATCAGATTTATGAACGACATAGTAAAAAGTGCCCAAAAATGGCAAAATACTTGGAATTTCATCAGTAATTTCACCATTGTTATTGTCGATTTCTAGAAATTTCTTTTGAACTCTTGACCTTTTACAGCGATGAATACTCCCAAGAAAGGACTTCTAGTTGTTCAGTTATTGCTATGTTTTTCTGTGTCCTTTTATTTGACGGCTGCTCAGATGGTCCGACAGTGCACTTGTGGGGAAGTTCAAGCTTGCAGAGCGCAGAAAAGGCAACAAATGCAAAGTTGTTTGCAACAGTGCAGAGTAAGATTAATGTGATTCATATTAGTCAAGATTAAAAACAAGATAATGGAAAATGGCTTATTTTGGACATTAGGCGAGGCTACTCAAGCTTAAGCTTAGATCGAGGTTAGACTTGCAGCCTTTAAGCACTCAAACTTTAACTTCAGCACCAAACTCAAGCTCAAGCTTGAGACTTGATTGGGCTTAGATCCAGCTCGTGATAACAAGTTTTAGGCATTCAAGCTTGGACTTAGATCAAGGTTAGACTTCCAAGCTTTACGCACTGAAACTTGAACTTAAGCGACTAAGTTCGAGCTCAAATTTTTAAGATTTAGGCCTCAAGCTAAGGTTTTAAGCCCTTAAGCTTATTCTTAAGTGTCCTTCTCTATCTTAGTCATTCAACTTTTATACATTCCAACTTAGATCGAGCTCAGACATTAAACCTTTAAGCATTCAAGCTTTAGTCTCTCAAAACTTAGACATTTAAACTTTGGGCATATCAATCACTCTTAGACTTAAGCATGCTACTCAAACTTAGATCGAGCATAGGCTCTTAGCGTTTACACTTAGACTTCCTAGCTTACCCTCGAGCTTAGTCATTCAAGCTTCAGGCTTTCAAGTGTGAGCTATGGGCTTGCTAAAGAAACTTAGATTTTGATCAAGCTTAAGCTTGCTACTAAGTCTTAGACTTAGACCAAGCTTAGGCTTAAGTTATATTAGAAAGTTCATATTGGTCAAGATTAAAAACAAGATAGTAAAAAATGGCTTATTTTGGACATTAAACGAGGCTATTCAACCTTAAGCTTAGATCGAGATTAGACTTCAAGCTTTAAGCACTTCAACTTAAGCGCCAATCTCAAGCTTGAGATTTGCTTGGGCGTAGATCAAGCTCAGGAATCAAGTTTTAGGCATCTAGGCTAAGCTTAGCTTACATCGTGTATATCAAGCTCAATGCCGTAAAGCTTAGGTTTTCAGTCTTGAGTATTCAAGCTTATCCTTAAGTGTCTTCCTCTATCTTAGGCTTTCAACTTTTAAGAAATCAAGCTTATATCAAGCCTAGGCTTAGGCTTGAAACCTTAGGCTTGAAACCTTTAAGCACTCAATCTTAGACCTAAGCATGCTACTCAAGCTTAGACTTAGATCGAGTTTAGGCCTTAAACTTTTAAGCGTTCACACTTAGATTTCCATTAAGCCGTCAAGCTTAGACATTCAAGCTTTAGGCTCTCAAGCTTAAAACTCGTAATCTTAGGCTTAAGCTTGCCACTAAATCTTAGACTTAGACCAAGCTTAGGCTTAAGCGATATCCATTAAGCCGTCAAGCTTAGACATTCAAGCTTTAGACTCTCAAGCTTAAAACTCTGAATCTTAGGCTTAAGCTTGCCACTAAATCTAAGACATAGACCAAGCTTAGGCTTAAGCGATATCCATTAAGCCGTCAAGCTTAGACATTCAAGCTTTAGACTCTCAAGCTTAAAACTCTGAATCTTAGGCTTAAGCTTGCCACTAAATCTTAGACTTAGACCAAGCTTAGGCTTAAGCGATATCCATTAAGCCGTCAAGCTTAGACATTCAAGCTTTAGGCTCTCAAGCTTAAAACTCGTAATCTTAGGCTTAAGCTTGCCACTAAATCTTAGACTTAGACCAAGCTTAGGCTTAAGCGATATCCATTAAGCCGTCAAGCTTAGACATTCAAGCTTTAGACTCTCAAGCTTAAAACTCTGAATCTTAGGCTTAAGCTTGCCACTAAATCTAAGACTTAGATCAAGCTTAGGCTTAAGCGATATCCATTAAGCCGTCAAGCTTAGACATTCAGGCTTTAGGCTCTCAAGCTTAAAACTCTGAATCTTAGGCTTAAGCTTGCCACTAAATCTTAGACTTAGACCAAGCTTAGGCTTAAGCGATATCCATTAAGCCGTCAAGCTTAGACATTCAAGCTTTAGACTCTCAAGCTTAAAACTCTGAATCTTAGGCTTAAGCTTGCCACTAAATCTAAGACTTAGATCAAGCTTAGGCTTAAGCGATATCCATTAAGCCGTCAAGCTTAGACATTCAGGCTTTAGGCTCTCAAGCTTAAAACTCGTAATCTTAGGCTTAAGCTTGCCACTAAATCTTAGACTTAGACCAAGCTTAGGCTTAAGCGATATCCATTAAGCCCTCAAGCTTAGACATTCAGGCTTTAGGCTCTCAAGCTTAAAACTCTGAATCTTAGGCTTAAGCTTGCCACTAAATCTTAGACTTAGACCAAGCTTAGGCTTAAGCGATATCCATTAAGCCGTCAAGCTTAGACATTCAAGCTTTAGACTCTCAAGCTTAAAACTCTGAATCTTAGGCTTAAGCTTGCCACTAAATCTAAGACTTAGATCAAGCTTAGGCTTAAGCGATATCCATTAAGCCGTCAAGCTTAGACATTCAAGCTTTAGACTCTCAAGCTTAAAACTCTGAATCTTAGGCTTAAGCTTGCCACTAAATCTTAGACTTAGACCAAGCTTAGGCTTAAGCGATATCCATTAAGCCCTCAAGCTTAGACATTCAGGCTTTAGGCTCTCAAGCTTAAAACTCGTAATCTTAGGCTTAAGCTTGCCACTAAATCTTAGACTTAGACCAAGCTTAGGCTTAAGCGATATCCATTAAGCCTAAGTCTTAGACATTCAAGCTTTAGACTCTCAAGCTTAAAACTCTGAATCTTAGGCTTAAGCTTGCCACTAAATCTAAGACTTAGATCAAGCTTAGGCTTAAGCGATATCCATTAAGCCTAAGTCTTAGACATTCAAGCTTTAGACTCTCAAGCTTAAAACTCTGAATCTTAGGCTTAAGCTTGCCACTAAATCTTAGACTTAGACCAAGCTTAGGCTTAAGCGATATCCATTAAGCCGTCAAGCTTAGACATTCAGGCTTTAGGCTCTCAAGCTTAAAACTCTGAATCTTAGGCTTAAGCTTGCCACTAAATCTTAGACTTAT